ACACTAGTGGATTTCAGGTGTTTCTGGTACATGGACTACTCTCACCCAGTGTGAGGTCGAACTGTTGAAAAGAGTCTGTCAGATACGCTAAGCCTATAGGCTGAAGATGATGCCCCAACGCTGTGGAGAAACCTCAGGTGACTGTCCAGGCAGTTGGCTGTTTCTGTCAACTCACGTTTTTTTTGGAAGCCACTTGCATGCACTTCCTGTTTTTATTTTTATTTTTTTAGGTAATATTATTTCTTTCTTGGGTCTCTGAGGGAGTTTAAGATTAGATAGTTATAGTTAGTTAAAGTTTAGGTAGTTGTAGTTATCCTTGTTAAGATTTTTATAAAAGAAACCTGCTAAAGTAGTGTAAGTGTATATAAATTTGAAAGGCATTATAAGATAGTTCTGTTAGTAATATAAGTTAGGATAGAAAATGAATCAGGTACATGTTGGGCTTACAAAAATAGGATAGATAGTGGAATATTTTCTCTGAGTTTGTCAAAAACAAATGGACTAGACATTGTTTAAGTATTTATTGCTTGTATATATTGTATATAGTTTTTCTTACATTACTTTTAACTTTTTTCCTTTTTATTAGAATAGAAGGAGGAAATATGGTGATATTTGTTTGTACTGAAATATGATCTTATTTGTATGTTAATAAATAAAGTTGCCTGGGGGTCAGAGATAATAGTAAGCCATATAGCAGAAGTTTGGCAGTGGTAGAACATGCCCTTAATCCCGATCACATGACAGGCAGATCTTTGTGTGTTCAAGGATACAGCCAGCATGGAGACACACACCTTTAATCTCAATACCATCCATAGAGACCTGGAGGTCTGCAGAGACAGGCAGTGATGAGGAAGTCATGTGATTGGGTTTAGAACCAATGAGAAGGCAGAACAAAGGCAATAAAAAGACAGACACACAGCAAGTAGGTCTCTTTCTCAGGAGAAGGACAACAGAGAAAGTGAGGGGAAAGAAGGCGGTTTTGGTCTTAGCTCTTGGCTGCTGCTCTGAACTCTTGGGCTTTTAACTCTATACACATTTTCTTTTTTGATTACTCCATTGAGGGGCATTTAGATTGCTTTGAGGTTCTGGCGATTATGAATATTGCTGCTATGAATGTATTTGAGCATGTGTCCTTGTGATATGATTGAGCATTCCTTGGGTATATGCCCAAGCATGGTATCAATGGGGCTTGAGGTAGATTGAATCCACATTTTCTGGAAAACCGCCATACTAATTTCCAAAGTGACAGTACAAGTTGTAATCCCATCAGCAGAGAAAGAGTGTTCCCATTACTCCATATCCTGTCCAACTTAAGTGATCATCAGGGTTTTTTATCTTAGCTGTTCTGACAGGTATAGCATGGTATCTCACAAACATTATGATTTGTATTTCCCTGATGACTGTGGACATTGAGCAATTCCTTAAATGTTTTTAAGCCAACTGATTCTTCTATTGAGATACTCAGTTTAGATCTCTGTGCTATTGATATCTGTAATTTTTAGTTCATTGTTGAAGTTTTTGCAAAACAACTACCTTTTAATACTTCTCTTCCTATTACCCAATAGCCAGCACCGGCTCTCTCCAAGTCCTCCCCTCTCTGGAACTCCTCTTTGTGGTGTGCCTCTGAGTCTGAGTTTGTGCCAGTTTGCAGGGGATCTCTCTGTGTGCTTCTCGACTCCTCTCTACTGTGGAATTTTGCTCCAAGGATAGGTGCATTCTCTGGCAGGTTTCCTACTCCTCCACACTCAGTCAGACTCAGAAAGCCAGCGAAAGGATAGGGAATCCCGTCGACAGACAGACGGAGGAGGTGCTTGTTTCTGTGGAGGTCAAGAGAGGAGGTGGACACATCACCAGGGACCCTTCTCCATGGAGTCGATCTAAATCCCTACGTGTGGAAATCAACATGGCTACCACAGGGCTAGGCTACGAGGGCCTGGAAGGCAATCTCATTGGATTAACGGCCTGCTCTGAACCCTGGACCCCTTCACAATGAACAGCTAGCTTGGAGATAACTGTGATTCTTAGGTCTTAGGATTTTCTTTGAATTCCAGAGTCCCTCGTGCCATCCAGATGCCACCATTTACAGCAAAAGAGATCACGCTGCTTTCAGTGGGTTCTCCTGTCCACCCCGAAGGCTCTGGGCTGGAGAAACCGGAACTGCCAGGCATGACTTAGGGTTGGTCGCCCTGCCCATTCTCCCTCCACTCGCCTGCCCACCCTGACTTGACATGAGCCCCTCCTTCTGTGTTTGTGTGTGTGTGTGTGTGTGTGTGTGTGTGTGTGTGTGTGTGTGTGTGTCCCTGCCAGCCTATCTGAAGCCTTGGTCTGGTATCCTTCTCCTCCTCCTCCTCCTCTTCCTCCTTCTCGTCCTCCTCCTCGTCCTCCTCCTCCTCCTTGTCCTCCTAGTCCTCCTTGACCTCCTCAATCCCCATGGATGTCAATTTCCACACAGGCAGACTCTGCATGGTTTGTTTCTCATGGCACAGTGGGTCAACTTGGGCAGAGAAAGGCCAGCCACTGGTTTCAGGCAAAGCAGCCTTAGGGTGGGGTTAATCTGCTTTAGGGTGGGGTTAATCTGCTTTAGGGTGGGGTTAACCTGCTTTAGGGTGGGTTTTAGCAAAATCCATAGTCGGAGTGCTCAGGCAAGAAGTGGAGGGGTCCGCCTGTGTCTTCCACGGAGAGGTTCTCAAAGCTCCCTGGACCCTTTGGCGAAGGTGGTGTGCTCTGCACCTGTGGAGATCCGGGCTGACCTTCCGGCAAGCAAGCGGGCTGAGGCCCCCCTCCCCAACCCCAACCCCTCCCCCTCCCCCACCCAGTGGGCCTGCAATCCCAGGCTGCTGTGCCAGGCGCCAGGGATCCGGTTAGTGGGTGGGGCCGCCGGCAAGTAGGCAAGTATAAAAGTCCCGGGGACCACTCCTGGAGGCACTCACTCCATGCTGGAGCTCTCCTCCTGAGCGGTCCTGCTTCGACTGGCCAGTGGCAGGAGTCCTGGCAAGGCTACCTTGACCCGATGGAAGATCGCAGCAGCAGCAGCAGCAGCAGCAGCAGCAGCAGCAGCAGCAGCAGCAGCAATCTGGGGGACAGCACTGGGGCCCTGGCATCCCGGCGCCAAAGGACTGTTTGGAAAGCCGGGCAGCAGGACACCCTGCTGGCAGCTTTCGCTGAGAACCCTTACCCAAGCTTCAGGGCCAGGGAGGAGCTGGCCAGGGAACTGGGGCTGCCTGAGTCCCGCATCCGCGTGTGGTTTCAGAATCGCCGAAATCGCACCAGGGAGGTGCGCGGCCGCCGAGGCCCCGAGGGGTCGGCGGGACCAAGCGGGCTAGCGTCCCCTCAGCAGCGACCCAGAGGGCCTGGTGCCCGGGCACGAGGAGGTGGAAGAAGCAGCCCCGACGAGGGACGCACCAGGCGTCGCACTCGACTCAGCCCGGCACAGTTGAGGATCCTGCTCCAGGTGTTTGAGCGGGACCCGCAGCCGAAATATGCTGCCAGGGTGAAGCTCGCCCAAGAGACCGGTTTGCCTGAGGACACCATCTCCATCTGGTTCCAAAACCGGAGAGCGCGCCACCCTGGCGGTGGCGGGGACAGAGGTCGAGGTCAAGACTCCCGGGCTTCGCCGCCACCGCCGCCGCCTTCCCCTGCGTCCAATGCGGAGCCTGAAGGACCACCTTGCAGCCCCAGGGAGACGGAGCAGCATGCCCAAGACGACCTGTTGCCACCGGCTGCTGCACTAGGCTTGGGCGTCCAGACTTGGAGTCCGCCCTCCCCACCGCCCTCCTTCCCAGTGTCCTCGCCTGCAGCGGCACAGCCCTCGGGACCACGCCACGACCACGACCCGGAACCCCACCCCGTCGCGAGAGACACCTACACCGTGGACGATGTGGAGGTCACGCTGGACCAGCTGCTGTCTCAACTCCAGGCTGACCAGCAGGCCCAGGACACTCTGGATCCCCACGTCCCGTGGGAGGACATTAACCCAACCCTTGAGCTCCCTCTGGACCAAGAAGAGTACCGGACCCTCCTGCTGGATCTGTTGGGAGACACAGCAAGGCTTCGTTGAACCTCGTGCCCCATTCCTAGCATCCCTGGACCTGCGTTCAAGTTGACTTCACCAAGCAAGCACCTACTACTTGTGTTCCCCAGTGGGAGGCCACGGCCGAGAGCCTGGCAGGAGGAGCGGGCAGCACCCAAGCCCAAAAACAGGCCTTCTAAGGCCTCCATGGAACTCAGTAGAGAGGAGTCTGTTACACAGTCACCACCATGTCACAGCTTCCAAAACAACACACTCTGCCACAAGCTCTGCTCCACAGCACACTGTAACCTCCCAAAATCTCTTGACTCTCCTTTAAAGACTCAGCTCTGAAGACCTGACACCACAGACCATCCCCTCTCACACACACAGTCCACCCTATATGCACAGAAAACCCTCCACCACTTATTTATTTATGTATGTATGTATGTATGTATGTATGTATGTATGTATGTATGTATTTATTTATTTATTTATTTACTTTCTGTGAGGCAGTGTCCTGGAAATCCTTAGGTACACCCATCCCGCCCCCAAACCACAGGGATGCACCTGCTTCTGCCTCCCTAGGTCTGCCATGAAATGCAAGTGCACCTAAGGCAAGCATTCCACTCATGTTCTCCACACACGGACCCGGTAGCTCCTCTGCTCTTCACAGTCTCTAGAACCCTGATAGCTGCCATCTGGTGGCCAGTCTTGTAGCTTTTGGAAAACAACTGCTTTGCCTGAAACCAGTGCCTGGCAAAGGGTTCCCGTTTTCTTCCTGGAGTACTGGGGTGGAATGTGTGTTTGTGTGTGTGTGTGTGTGTGTGTGTGTGTGTGTGTGTGTGTGTGTGTGTGTGTGTGTCCCTGCCAGCCTATCTGAAGCCTTGGTCTGGTATCCTTCTCCTCCTCCTCCTCTTCCTCCTTCTCGTCCTCCTCCTCGTCCTCCTCCTCCTCCTTGTCCTCCTAGTCCTCCTTGACCTCCTCAATCCCCATGGATGTCAATTTCCACACAGGCAGACTCTGCATGGTTTGTTTCTCATGGCACAGTGGGTCAACTTGGGCAGAGAAAGGCCAGCCACTGGTTTCAGGCAAAGCAGCCTTAGGGTGGGGTTAATCTGCTTTAGGGTGGGGTTAACCTGCTTTAGGGTGGGTTTTAGCAAAATCCATAGTCGGAGTGCTCAGGCAAGAAGTGGAGGGGTCCGCCTGTGTCTTCCACGGAGAGGTTCTCAAAGCTCCCTGGACCCTTTGGCGAAGGTGGTGTGCTCTGCACCTGTGGAGATCCGGGCTGACCTTCCGGCAAGCAAGCGGGCTGAGGCCCCCCTCCCCAACCCCAACCCCTCCCCCTCCCCCACCCAGTGGGCCTGCAATCCCAGGCTGCTGTGCCAGGCGCCAGGGATCCGGTTAGTGGGTGGGGCCGCCGGCAAGTAGGCAAGTATAAAAGTCCCGGGGACCACTCCTGGAGGCACTCACTCCATGCTGGAGCTCTCCTCCTGAGCGGTCCTGCTTCGACTGGCCAGTGGCAGGAGTCCTGGCAAGGCTACCTTGACCCGATGGAAGATCGCAGCAGCAGCAGCAGCAGCAGCAGCAGCAGCAGCAGCAGCAGCAGCAGCAGCAGCAGCAATCTGGGGGACAGCACTGGGGCCCTGGCATCCCGGCGCCAAAGGACTGTTTGGAAAGCCGGGCAGCAGGACACCCTGCTGGCAGCTTTCGCTGAGAACCCTTACCCAAGCTTCAGGGCCAGGGAGGAGCTGGCCAGGGAACTGGGGCTGCCTGAGTCCCGCATCCGCGTGTGGTTTCAGAATCGCCGAAATCGCACCAGGGAGGTGCGCGGCCGCCGAGGCCCCGAGGGGTCGGCGGGACCAAGCGGGCTAGCGTCCCCTCAGCAGCGACCCAGAGGGCCTGGTGCCCGGGCACGAGGAGGTGGAAGAAGCAGCCCCGACGAGGGACGCACCAGGCGTCGCACTCGACTCAGCCCGGCACAGTTGAGGATCCTGCTCCAGGTGTTTGAGCGGGACCCGCAGCCGAAATATGCTGCCAGGGTGAAGCTCGCCCAAGAGACCGGTTTGCCTGAGGACACCATCTCCATCTGGTTCCAAAACCGGAGAGCGCGCCACCCTGGCGGTGGCGGGGACAGAGGTCGAGGTCAAGACTCCCGGGCTTCGCCGCCACCGCCGCCGCCTTCCCCTGCGTCCAATGCGGAGCCTGAAGGACCACCTTGCAGCCCCAGGGAGACGGAGCAGCATGCCCAAGACGACCTGTTGCCACCGGCTGCTGCACTAGGCTTGGGCGTCCAGACTTGGAGTCCGCCCTCCCCACCGCCCTCCTTCCCAGTGTCCTCGCCTGCAGCGGCACAGCCCTCGGGACCACGCCACGACCACGACCCGGAACCCCACCCCGTCGCGAGAGACACCTACACCGTGGACGATGTGGAGGTCACGCTGGACCAGCTGCTGTCTCAACTCCAGGCTGACCAGCAGGCCCAGGACACTCTGGATCCCCACGTCCCGTGGGAGGACATTAACCCAACCCTTGAGCTCCCTCTGGACCAAGAAGAGTACCGGACCCTCCTGCTGGATCTGTTGGGAGACACAGCAAGGCTTCGTTGAACCTCGTGCCCCATTCCTAGCATCCCTGGACCTGCGTTCAAGTTGACTTCACCAAGCAAGCACCTACTACTTGTGTTCCCCAGTGGGAGGCCACGGCCGAGAGCCTGGCAGGAGGAGCGGGCAGCACCCAAGCCCAAAAACAGGCCTTCTAAGGCCTCCATGGAACTCAGTAGAGAGGAGTCTGTTACACAGTCACCACCATGTCACAGCTTCCAAAACAACACACTCTGCCACAAGCTCTGCTCCACAGCACACTGTAACCTCCCAAAATCTCTTGACTCTCCTTTAAAGACTCAGCTCTGAAGACCTGACACCACAGACCATCCCCTCTCACACACACAGTCCACCCTATATGCACAGAAAACCCTCCACCACTTATTTATTTATGTATGTATGTATGTATGTATGTATGTATGTATGTATGTATGTATTTATTTATTTATTTACTTTCTGTGAGGCAGTGTCCTGGAAATCCTTAGGTACACCCATCCCGCCCCCAAACCACAGGGATGCACCTGCTTCTGCCTCCCTAGGTCTGCCATGAAATGCAAGTGCACCTAAGGCAAGCATTCCACTCATGTTCTCCACACACGGACCCGGTAGCTCCTCTGCTCTTCACAGTCTCTAGAACCCTGATAGCTGCCATCTGGTGGCCAGTCTTGTAGCTTTTGGAAAACAACTGCTTTGCCTGAAACCAGTGCCTGGCAAAGGGTTCCCGTTTTCTTCCTGGAGTACTGGGGTGGAATGTGTGTTTGTGTGTGTGTGTGTGTGTGTGTGTGTGTGTGTGTGTGTGTGTGTGTGTGTGTGTGTGTCCCTGCCAGCCTATCTGAAGCCTTGGTCTGGTATCCTTCTCCTCCTCCTCCTCCTCTTCCTCCTTCTCGTCCTCCTCCTCGTCCTCCTCCTCCTCCTTGTCCTCCTAGTCCTCCTTGACCTCCTCAATCCCCATGGATGTCAATTTCCACACAGGCAGACTCTGCATGGTTTGTTTCTCATGGCACAGTGGGTCAACTTGGGCAGAGAAAGGCCAGCCACTGGTTTCAGGCAAAGCAGCCTTAGGGTGGGGTTAATCTGCTTTAGGGTGGGGTTAACCTGCTTTAGGGTGGGTTTTAGCAAAATCCATAGTCGGAGTGCTCAGGCAAGAAGTGGAGGGGTCCGCCTGTGTCTTCCACGGAGAGGTTCTCAAAGCTCCCTGGACCCTTTGGCGAAGGTGGTGTGCTCTGCACCTGTGGAGATCCGGGCTGACCTTCCGGCAAGCAAGCGGGCTGAGGCCCCCCTCCCCAACCCCAACCCCTCCCCCTCCCCCACCCAGTGGGCCTGCAATCCCAGGCTGCTGTGCCAGGCGCCAGGGATCCGGTTAGTGGGTGGGGCCGCCGGCAAGTAGGCAAGTATAAAAGTCCCGGGGACCACTCCTGGAGGCACTCACTCCATGCTGGAGCTCTCCTCCTGAGCGGTCCTGCTTCGACTGGCCAGTGGCAGGAGTCCTGGCAAGGCTACCTTGACCCGATGGAAGATCGCAGCAGCAGCAGTAGCAGCAGCAGCAGCAGCAGCAGCAGCAGCAGCAGCAGCAGCAATCTGGGGGACAGCACTGGGGCCCTGGCATCCCGGCGCCAAAGGACTGTTTGGAAAGCCGGGCAGCAGGACACCCTGCTGGCAGCTTTCGCTGAGAACCCTTACCCAAGCTTCAGGGCCAGGGAGGAGCTGGCCAGGGAACTGGGGCTGCCTGAGTCCCGCATCCGCGTGTGGTTTCAGAATCGCCGAAATCGCACCAGGGAGGTGCGCGGCCGCCGAGGCCCCGAGGGGTCGGCGGGACCAAGCGGGCTAGCGTCCCCTCAGCAGCGACCCAGAGGGCCTGGTGCCCGGGCACGAGGAGGTGGAAGAAGCAGCCCCGACGAGGGACGCACCAGGCGTCGCACTCGACTCAGCCCGGCACAGTTGAGGATCCTGCTCCAGGTGTTTGAGCGGGACCCGCAGCCGAAATATGCTGCCAGGGTGAAGCTCGCCCAAGAGACCGGTTTGCCTGAGGACACCATCTCCATCTGGTTCCAAAACCGGAGAGCGCGCCACCCTGGCGGTGGCGGGGACAGAGGTCGAGGTCAAGACTCCCGGGCTTCGCCGCCACCGCCGCCGCCTTCCCCTGCGTCCAATGCGGAGCCTGAAGGACCACCTTGCAGCCCCAGGGAGACGGAGCAGCATGCCCAAGACGACCTGTTGCCACCGGCTGCTGCACTAGGCTTGGGCGTCCAGACTTGGAGTCCGCCCTCCCCACCGCCCTCCTTCCCAGTGTCCTCGCCTGCAGCGGCACAGCCCTCGGGACCACGCCACGACCACGACCCGGAACCCCACCCCGTCGCGAGAGACACCTACACCGTGGACGATGTGGAGGTCACGCTGGACCAGCTGCTGTCTCAACTCCAGGCTGACCAGCAGGCCCAGGACACTCTGGATCCCCACGTCCCGTGGGAGGACATTAACCCAACCCTTGAGCTCCCTCTGGACCAAGAAGAGTACCGGACCCTCCTGCTGGATCTGTTGGGAGACACAGCAAGGCTTCGTTGAACCTCGTGCCCCATTCCTAGCATCCCTGGACCTGCGTTCAAGTTGACTTCACCAAGCAAGCACCTACTACTTGTGTTCCCCAGTGGGAGGCCACGGCCGAGAGCCTGGCAGGAGGAGCGGGCAGCACCCAAGCCCAAAAACAGGCCTTCTAAGGCCTCCATGGAACTCAGTAGAGAGGAGTCTGTTACACAGTCACCACCATGTCACAGCTTCCAAAACAACACACTCTGCCACAAGCTCTGCTCCACAGCACACTGTAACCTCCCAAAATCTCTTGACTCTCCTTTAAAGACTCAGCTCTGAAGACCTGACACCACAGACCATCCCCTCTCACACACACAGTCCACCCTATATGCACAGAAAACCCTCCACCACTTATTTTTATATTATGTATGTATGTATGTATGTATGTATGTATGTATGTATTTATTTATTTATTTATTTACTTTCTGTGAGGCAGTGTCCTGGAAATCCTTAGGTACACCCATCCCGCCCCCAAACCACAGGGATGCACCTGCTTCTGCCTCCCTAGGTCTGCCATGAAATGCAAGTGCACCTAAGGCAAGCATTCCACTCATGTTCTCCACACACGGACCCGGTAGCTCCTCTGCTCTTCACAGTCTCTAGAACCCTGATAGCTGCCATCTGGTGGCCAGTCTTGTAGCTTTTGGAAAACAACTGCTTTGCCTGAAACCAGTGCCTGGCAAAGGGTTCCCGTTTTCTTCCTGGAGTACTGGGGTGGAATGTGTGTTTGTGTGTGTGTGTGTGTGTGTGTGTGTGTGTGTGTGTGTGTGTGTGTGTGTGTGTGTGTCCCTGCCAGCCTATCTGAAGCCTTGGTCTGGTATCCTTCTCCTCCTCCTCCTCCTCTTCCTCCTTCTCGTCCTCCTCCTCGTCCTCCTCCTCCTCCTTGTCCTCCTAGTCCTCCTTGACCTCCTCAATCCCCATGGATGTCAATTTCCACACAGGCAGACTCTGCATGGTTTGTTTCTCATGGCACAGTGGGTCAACTTGGGCAGAGAAAGGCCAGCCACTGGTTTCAGGCAAAGCAGCCTTAGGGTGGGGTTAATCTGCTTTAGGGTGGGGTTAACCTGCTTTAGGGTGGGTTTTAGCAAAATCCATAGTCGGAGTGCTCAGGCAAGAAGTGGAGGGGTCCGCCTGTGTCTTCCACGGAGAGGTTCTCAAAGCTCCCTGGACCCTTTGGCGAAGGTGGTGTGCTCTGCACCTGTGGAGATCCGGGCTGACCTTCCGGCAAGCAAGCGGGCTGAGGCCCCCCTCCCCAACCCCAACCCCTCCCCCTCCCCCACCCAGTGGGCCTGCAATCCCAGGCTGCTGTGCCAGGCGCCAGGGATCCGGTTAGTGGGTGGGGCCGCCGGCAAGTAGGCAAGTATAAAAGTCCCGGGGACCACTCCTGGAGGCACTCACTCCATGCTGGAGCTCTCCTCCTGAGCGGTCCTGCTTCGACTGGCCAGTGGCAGGAGTCCTGGCAAGGCTACCTTGACCCGATGGAAGATCGCAGCAGCAGCAGCAGCAGCAGCAGCAGCAGCAGCAGCAGCAGCAGCAGCAATCTGGGGGACAGCACTGGGGCCCTGGCATCCCGGCGCCAAAGGACTGTTTGGAAAGCCGGGCAGCAGGACACCCTGCTGGCAGCTTTCGCTGAGAACCCTTACCCAAGCTTCAGGGCCAGGGAGGAGCTGGCCAGGGAACTGGGGCTGCCTGAGTCCCGCATCCGCGTGTGGTTTCAGAATCGCCGAAATCGCACCAGGGAGGTGCGCGGCCGCCGAGGCCCCGAGGGGTCGGCGGGACCAAGCGGGCTAGCGTCCCCTCAGCAGCGACCCAGAGGGCCTGGTGCCCGGGCACGAGGAGGTGGAAGAAGCAGCCCCGACGAGGGACGCACCAGGCGTCGCACTCGACTCAGCCCGGCACAGTTGAGGATCCTGCTCCAGGTGTTTGAGCGGGACCCGCAGCCGAAATATGCTGCCAGGGTGAAGCTCGCCCAAGAGACCGGTTTGCCTGAGGACACCATCTCCATCTGGTTCCAAAACCGGAGAGCGCGCCACCCTGGCGGTGGCGGGGACAGAGGTCGAGGTCAAGACTCCCGGGCTTCGCCGCCACCGCCGCCGCCTTCCCCTGCGTCCAATGCGGAGCCTGAAGGACCACCTTGCAGCCCCAGGGAGACGGAGCAGCATGCCCAAGACGACCTGTTGCCACCGGCTGCTGCACTAGGCTTGGGCGTCCAGACTTGGAGTCCGCCCTCCCCACCGCCCTCCTTCCCAGTGTCCTCGCCTGCAGCGGCACAGCCCTCGGGACCACGCCACGACCACGACCCGGAACCCCACCCCGTCGCGAGAGACACCTACACCGTGGACGATGTGGAGGTCACGCTGGACCAGCTGCTGTCTCAACTCCAGGCTGACCAGCAGGCCCAGGACACTCTGGATCCCCAC